GTATAAACACTATCCATATGCCTAACATTGCTTCCCATGTTTTTTTTTTTTTTTCCAAATGGAGCATTGAGGCATTGTAATTATTTGGTAGTGAGACTTGACACTAGTCCTTCCTTGACATTTCAGACCTTTTGAGCCAAGAGGTCTTTTAAGATGCTGGTTACAATGGTTCAGTCAGTAATGCACTTTGCCTCACAAGCAGGAGGACCTAAATCTGGTACCCAGAGCCCATGTTAAAAAAACTGGATGCAGTGGCCCACAATTGTAATTCCAGGACAGGGGAGATAGAGCTAGGAGGGGGCTTCCCAGGTTTACTGACCAGCCAGGCTAGTGCAATCAGTAAGCCCCTGTTAATGAGATACCCTACCTCAGAAATCAAGGTGGACAGCACCATATTTATTTGTGCACACACACACACACACACACACACACACACACACACACACACCTGATGAGGAGATTAATTCCAGCAGAATTCAATTGAGCAAGCATCAGAGCTTTGAAGCAGGGACAGGGGTGGGGGTGGGGAGCGAGGGTGGGCCCAGGCATCTGTCCCTAATCTCTCCCTCAATCCAGCTACTAACTAGGGCACGGTTTGAGTTTAGGAAGTTTACTGGCTAAAGGGCCCAAGGGGGTGTAAGAACAATAAATAGGAGCCTGCTTGGGGTTCACAGGAGATTGGTGCCAGCTGCTGAGGTCGGAAGTACATGAGGGAACCTGGCTGGCAGAGAAAGGTGACTAGCCTTTTGAAACCTGTTGAGTTCAAAGAAGCCACAAAGTGGCTGATGGCAACCCTCAAGAGATGAGTGGCCACTCCAAGTTCAGGCCTGAGAGTTGAACCCAAAACACTTCCTTAGGCTCCTGTAGCCATGAGTGGGCTTTCATCTGGGGAGCTACTGTGTCATGAATTTGAGATTTCCTCTTAGCCCAGAGGTTCACTTGGTCTCCAGCTGGTGGCCTTCTGGGAAATTTATGGACCCTTTAGTAGGCAGAGCCTTGCTGGAGGAAGTATGTATGTCACGGGAGTGAGCGCTGAGGGTTTACAACCCAGCCCAACGTTCTGTGCTCTCTGATTCCTGACTGACTGGAGGCAGTGTGACTGGCTGCCTCCCACTCGTCCAGCATGCTCTCCCCACCGTGACAGACTATATGCCCTCATATTATGAGCCGAAATAAGCTCTTTGCTTATGTTGCTTTTTGTCTGGTCTTTAGTCTCAGCAGGGAGCTGTCTGAGAGCCTCTGGACCAGCTCCATTTGGAATAGAAACACGGTTGATTCAGTCTCCCAGATTTCTACAAAACTACCACAAGACCGTCTATGATGAGATCTCAATTCCTGTAGTCCTAATTGCTTCCAAAGGTCTACCTTCAAATACCATTACCATATGACTTTCCAAATTGTGAACTATTGGTAGATACACTAACTACACTAACTACCTGACATCCTAAATGATGGCCAGATGTTTATTTGTGACTAGATTGTGGGAGAGAGAGGCCAGGTTTTCTATCCTCTCAAAGTTCTGCTTGGAACACCCCCCCCCTTCTGATCACCTGCTGGCTCCTCTTCAGTTATAAGTTAAGAGCCTAAATCCTCTCTAAAAGGAATCGCTTCTCGGATGTCACCACACCCAAGCACCCTCTGGGAGTTGTTGAGCCTCTCCATAGTTTTCCTCCTAGCCTAAACCTTCCTGCTTGGAACACTTCAAAGAGCCCCTGCCTTTCCTGGATTTGATTGTGTGACCTCCTAGATCTTTCCTTTCCCAGGCCTTTGTCTGGGATCCTAATCTTGAACCTGTCTGCAGTGAAGGGGTTTAGACTCAAATGAAACCATGTGGGCAGTTTGCTGCTGTGTCTTGCTGCAGAGGCTGGGGCCTCTCCAGTCAGCAGCTGGCTGTTAGCAGGAAAGCCCCTTTTTGCATTAGGGACAGATGACTGCATCCACTTCCAGCCCCCACTTCAAAGCCAACAACTGTCCTGAGAGGCGACTCGAGTGAAAATGTGGGGTAGATCTGGGAAGAGTTGGGGTGCTGTTATGGGAATCTAGAGATTTGGGAGTGTAGAATGGCAGGTGTAGGTACACTGTGGACACTGGACCCTTCCGATTTCTTTGCCCTGGCTTTGTTTGTTTGTTTGTTTGTTTGTTTTTAGGTAGTGTCTTATGTGTTATGAAATATAATACATTGGGGATGGGGGTACCTGGCGGGCCCATGCTAAGGTATCTCCCTGAGAAATCACAGCATGCAATAGACCTGGTATAAAGAGGATGGGGGGGGTGAAGGCCTAGAGAAGGTAGAGGCAGACAGGAGCAGAGCCACAAGCAGAGAAAGACAGAAAAAAAAGAAAGAGGGGAGAGAGACCAGTTGGGCACACATGGGATGGGAAGCAAGCATCCTCTATAAACCACCTGCACCTGGCAGCTGGTAATGACATAAACTGTTGCTAGGTCCCTGAGAGGAGCCTAGCGGAATTGCCTGTTAGCTAACATGTGGTCCAGGATGTCATAGCTAGAGGAACTAAGGCTTTCTGCATGCTAAGTGCATATTCTAACACTAAGCCACATCCCCAGCTCTGGCTCTCTGCTTTTTCTCACACTAATCCTCCTTCCTCTCCCTTTGTCACCCTCCTCTTCCTCCCTCTCCTATTCTTCCTCTTCCTCAGCCTTTTCTTCCTCCTCCTTTCTCTTCTTCCCTCTCTCCTTTTTCCCCTTCCTCCCTCTCTGCCTCACCTCTGTATTCTCCATCCCACTCTGTGTTTCTCTTGCTCTCTCATTCACCTTACCTGTGCTGACACCAACACCAAGTGACCTTTGACCCTTAGTCCTCTGTGTTGTGCATTCTGAATGTTGGAGAGGATCTAGCAGGCCCTTTGGGACTTCTAGCTTCCCTGGGACTGAGTTCCCTCTAGGCAGACCCACACTAGGGAAGTCAACAAGATTAGGGATCCCCCTGCCTGCTTCCAAAGGAATGGGGATGGGGTTCTGAGAATACAGGGGGTGGATAAAATTTACTAGATGCCCAGCACAGGAACCCATACCTTAGAACCCTTCCAGTTAACTTACAGGAGGTAGGTGATCCTAAACAGGGCTCAGGCTTGAAGTAAGAAGTCAGGGCTTATAGACCATTGCACTCTTGTTTGGTCAGGAACCCATACCTTAGAACCCTTCCAGTTAACTTACAGGAGGTAGGTGGTCCTAAACAGGGCTCAGGCTTGAAGTAAGAAGTAGTCAGGGCTTATAGACCATTGCACTCTTGTTTGGTCAGGGGCCATATCCCTGAAATCAGAAAGTCAGCAGCTTGTAGCCACACACATCAGACATGGTGTGGGACTGAGCCTGCGTTTCAAGCATCTTCTTTTTTGGTAGGCTGGCCTGCAGTCAGAAGGTTATTTACTACCAGTTGTTACTCTAATGCATAAAATAGGAAATTTAACTTGAACTTGGCTTTTAAAAGGTTTCTTCCTCCAATGTCAGGGTGTTGTATGATAGCCACAGGACAAGGATGTCACACAAAGAGGCTTCAACCAGCTTCATTCGGGTTCAAGTCCTCTTCTCTGCACTGGGGGCTGCTAGGGCCACTCACCCGCCCCCTCTCTCAAGTTCCTTAACAGTCTTTGGTCACAAACTGCTATTATTAGATTTTCCCAGTGTGGGGCAAAAAAAAAAGACACTCAGAATGTCCTACTTTGACACAACTGGAAGCCATTAGAGAACTTGAATCCTTCAGATTCAAAAGGAAGCAGGGGGAGGGGGAGGGTCAGGCCATACACAATCCACTTGGACTACTTAGTCACACAAACGCCAAAGGGCAGTGAGAGGGACCTTGTTTCCTCGCCACAGGTGGTTTCCATTTTGAACCCTGAAAACCTGTGCCCGCAGATGTGGAACCTTCGGTTCTGCCCCTCATAAAAAAAAGGCTGAGTGTTCTCCACTGATTCAGAGCACTGCAAAGTTCCCACTTAACCCCTCTGTCTCCTTTGGCTCACCTGGGTATTCTCAGCTCTCCAGCTGCTGGGTCTATCTAGTACATCGTGAGAGAAGCCCTCCTCTTCCCCAGTGTCAGAATGAAGTGGGCTGCAGCTCTGACAGCATGAGTTCATCATCACTTGAAATACTGGCAAACAGGGGATGTTTGTATTCCCTGGAGACAGCTTAACAACTCGGGATAAATATTCCAGGCCAGCTGACTGCCTTCTCCAAGCCTTCATCCCTGCCCCACCTCACACAAACTTCCTTCCCAAAAACTGGTGAGCCAAAAGCAATGCATTGGGTCCCTAGAAATTCCCAAAATCAGGATGATACTTCCAGACACTTGGCCATGACTGTTGTTATTCTGTAATATTTTACCATATGTGTGCATTCTAGTCAAATAGTAGTAATATAAATACATAAACATGGTTAGATACATGATAATACACACACACACACACACACACACACACACACACACTCACATGTTTCTGATTGCAGACTTATATAGTGGAAATATAACTGTTTCTGCCCTAAAGATCCAGACAGATTCCTATTTTCATGTGTGTTTGTGTCTCTGCAGTATGCATGCATATGTGTGGGTTTGCATATGTGGGGGGCACACATATCAGGACCTGTACATATATGCATGTGTATGTGGGTACATATGAAGGCCAAAGGTTGACATCACTGTCTTTCTTGATCATTGTTCACCTTAGGTATTGAGACAGAGCCTCTCACTTGAACTCAGAGATCATGGATTTGGCTCATCTACTAGCCAGCTTACTGCAGGGATACATAGTCTCTGCTCCCATAGCACCACGACTGCAGGCAGGCCACCGTGTTCACCTACTGAGCCATGTCTCCATCCCTAGGCCAGATTGCGTTTAAGATAAATCTCACTATCTGCATGTCACAGGGCCAAGATCTCAGCATTAACCATTCTTATCTCTGGACCCTGCAGCTCTTACATGAGGTCTGGCCTTACTAAGCAAGTCGTTTTACTAATGCACTTTCTGCTACTCTCCCCTCTCTAGAATAAGAAAATCTACTTGGATATCATTCACACGTACATGGAAGTGCATGCCACTGTTTACGGCTCCAGTACCAAGAACATTCCCAGTTACGTGAAAAACCATGGCATTCTCAGTGGGCGTGACCTGCAGTTTCTTCTTCGGGAAACCAAGGTAACCTCCTAGCAGATTCATAACAAGTCACAGGATTTATGGATTTGTTCCCCCTGGCATTGAAAATGGGATCTGAGTACTTTCATGCTTTCTTTTCATGGTACAATAGAACTCTAGGCAATAGATTAGGGATATGGCTCAATGCTTGCCCAGAAACAAACAAACACACACACACACACACAAAACCAGATCTGAGTTGTGCTGTAGTGTCTCAAGTTTTAATATCTATTATTATTTGTTAAAATAATTCATTTAATGATTCCACAGAAACATTAGCCCATGTTAGACTAGCTATAAGGTTTTCTGGGTGTTTGTGTACACATATATACTTTACAATTAAAGACTTTTTACATGTGGTTTTGTGTTTCAAATGTATCTGTGTATCTGTGTAAAGGAGAAAGGTCCAGATTGGAGATGATGGTACATGTCTGTAATCTCAGTATATAGGACTTAGAGGCAAGAATCAGGAGTTCAAAATCATCCTCAAATATGTAGGGAGTTTGTTGCAAGCCTAGGAATATGAGACCCTGTCTAAGCTTTAAGCAATAGCCAAACAGTAATGTTCTAGAGCAACTACTGGAAAAAAAAGTTAATAAATTATAAATTGTGGCTGCTGTGAGTTCATTCATTGATTTTGTTCAAAATATGTGTTTTTGCAATTAAAAGTTATACATATACACACATATATATTATATATACATGTTTATGCATATACACATACACACACACACACACACACACACACACACACACATATATATATATATATATATTTTAGTGGTAGCATTTGCCTGACATGTGACCCCCCCCTTCCATGCCATGGCATGAGCGCACTCACACACTTGTACTCACACCACACACACACAATAGTGCAAGTCTCTTATAAACAGAGTTTGTGACTGTTCACCAGGTAAAAGGATACTATCTGATACTATTTTGTCTCACTTTCTCGGTCTGTAAACACAATTGATTCTTTTTGCCCCACCCCCAGGTCATTTGTATGATTTCAGGGATAAAACATTTTGAAAAAAATTTTTTAACTCTTTGTCCAAACACTGGGTTTCATTTCCTGAGGACTTCTAATTCTTAGAAGGTCTCCTGTCGCCTGATGACTGCTTGAGTCTGTGAGCGAGGAGCGCTCCAGTTTCACCGCTCTCTTCCCGTTGTCGTCAGTTTCTTTCTTAGTTTGACATTTCCGATGTCCCAGCCTTTTCTCTGCAGCATTTCTATTTTCTGTCATTTGCCTCCTTTCACTTTTCTTTGGTGCGATCTTGCTGAAAGTTCAAGTTCCTTTAAAATAACACCAGGGCAGAGCTGCCACACAGCATGTCATTACCGTCTCGCATGCTTCTATTAGCCCGACCCTGGGAATGGCTCCCTCAGCCTTGCAGATCTTAAAAGAGCCCTCATTTGCCTACCATCCATTTACCTTGTCAGAGAATGGGAAATGGGCCAAAATTGAAGTCCATCCTGTCTGAAGGAGCACAAGAAAAAAGCCTCTAAGACCCAGCCATAATGTTGGAGTAGGCCACACAGCCAAGGGTATGGCTTGGTTTTTGATCATGAGAAGCTCAGGATCAAATATATAAATATATAAATATATACGTATACATATACATATCCTTAAAAACAAAATAAGCAGGTGTTGGGACTGGAGAAATGGCTCAGTGGTTAAGAGCACATACTTCTCTAACAAAGGACCAGGGCTCAGTTCTCAGTACCTGTAGCTGGCACAGCTGCCTTTAACTCCAATTCCAAAAGATCTAATCCCCCATAGACACTGTAGATGCTACAAATATGTAGTGATACAGAGATAAACAGGTACACACACACATACATATATACACATAAACTTTTTAAGTAATTAATTTAAAACTGGTACCTTATAGTGTTGCTCTAGTTAGAATTATTTTGCATTTGTTTCTCTAATATGAATATATTAGGGATGGAGAGATGGCTTGCCAGTTAAGAGCACAGCACATGCTGCCTCTCCAGGGGCCCCAAGTTCTGTTGCCAGCACCCATGTTGGGCTACCTTTAACTCCAGCTCCAAAGGATCTGATGCCTCTGGCCTCCGTGGGTACCATGTTCATTCATGTGCAAACACAGAGAGAGAGAGACAGAGAGAGAGAGAGACAGAGAGAGAGAGAGAGAGAGAGAGAGAGAGAGAGAGAGAATTTAAAACCCAGATAAATCTTAAAGAATATGTTGAACCACTCCACGTGGAGTTATAACTCAGATTGTTAGTAGATAAGGGGAACGCAGGGTGGTGTATGGCCAAGACTTCCCTCACATTGAGAGCCCGGCAGTAGGCAACTGAGATGAATAAATACTGAGTTTGGAAATATGGCACAGGATGAGTTGGCTTTGTGTTCATATCATTTGCTGCTTCTAATTCCTTCTTCAGTGCCACTGAGCAGTCTAAAGCAATTTCTTCCCTTCCATGTTGGAAGTAAAGAACAGGAGCTGCTAAAGGAGAAATGTCTGTACAATGAAAGATTCTCCTCAGACTCTGCTAACGAGGGGAGCAAGCCTGGTCTTCTCTCCCTGAATACTTCAGAGAGAGGGGACTGGTGTTTAGTCACTTTGGGGCTCATTATTTTTATTAATGAGCCATCTTTGGATTTTGGTATTGCTTTGGTTTTGGCTCCTTTCATGTGGGGATTGCCTAGTGCATGCTAGGGCAAGCATGCGCCCACTAAGCTACTTCCCAAGCCTATCAGCCATCTTTGAAACTGCTTCAGCCCAGAGCACCCTGTGCTTAGTAGAACTCTGTCTGAGCATGCCATTTGGAGCCCTGGCCTCAGAAGACAGAGGGATGTTGGTATAACATGAAAATTGGGGCTTAAAGCATTAGGAAGTTGCTATAATCTAGAAGCCTCGTCTAACAGAGCTATAAATTTTGATAAACTACATATCTAAAATCTATAGACAGGTCATTTAGTCTATCAAACTCTAGAAGGGGAGTTGGGGCCAGTGAATCATGCCTCACCTTTTACATTTTTGCATATTTTACATTTTGATTTAACTGTCCATCTGCTCTAATATGACTTTTCTTCACCTTCCTAGTTTATGTTTGTTTGTTTGTTTGTTTGTTTGTTTAGGCAGGGTCTCTGTAGCCCAGGCTGGCCTCAGACTTAAACAAGTAGGCATGGATGAGCTTGAACCTCTGATCCCCTTACCTCCATCTTCTGAATACAGGGATTACTGGTATGCATTTTCACAGCCTGTTTATGTGGTAGGGGGGGATCAAGCTCAGGGCCCCTGAGCCAAGCACTCAACATCACCAGCCCATCTTCCTAGTTTAACTTCATTACTTTTCCCACCTTCTCTTGGGTTGTTGTTACTAATAGACTGTAATGAACATCAAGTATTCACATCCTACTTGGAAGGGTATCTGTCTCTAGCCAAACTAGGTACTCTCCTTCTGTAGTCAAAGACAAACTCTAGCAGGGGAGGCTGCTGTTCATACCCTTATTTCCCAGCACCCCCCACCATTCTTCCCTCCATGACTTATGTGACCCAGGACGACCCTAGTTCTTCACCAAGTCATCTCAGCTAGAGACATAAACAGGTGTGACCAATGTGGAGTGTGTGGTTTACTCAGCAGTCTTTCCTTTGGGCCTAACTGCAGCCCCAAATGCATAGCTAAAAGCTCCCCAAACCCCAGCTAACTCTTGGCTCCCCTTTCCCTAGGTTTGGCTAGGTTTCATTTCTGTTGCTATGACAAAATATTCTGACATAGGGGTTTACTTCAGCTTACAATTCCAGATTATCATCCATTGAAGTAATAACACAACTGTAACTCAAGAACAGACAGAAATGAATGTATCATGTTCGGTTACTTACTTACTTGTGCTCAGCTCAATTTTTCCAGACTTATACACTTCAGGACTTCTGCCTAGGGAATGGTACTGCCCACAGTGGGCTGGGTCTTTCCATACCAATTAACTTAATTAAGACAATCTCTCACAGGCATGCTCACAGACTAACACAATTTAGCAACCCAGCACTTACTAAACATATTAACAACAACAAAAAAACCTTTTTGTAAGCAAACTCTAGTGTGTCCAAGCTGGCCTCAAGCTCTCTATCTAATGTAGTGTCTTAATTTTATTTCTTTTGCTGTGATGAAATCTCCAACAGAAGAAATTTAAGGGAGAAGAATGTTTATTTGGGTCTCAATTTTAGGTTATGGTCCACAACTGTGAGGAAGTCAAGGCAGCAGGAACTTGAAGCAGCTGCATCCAGGGTTAACAGAGAACAACAAGTAGTGAATGAGTGCTTGCTTGTGCCCAGCCCTCTTTCCTCACATTTACACAGTTCTCGATGCCCTGCCCAGGGAATGATGCTACCCCAAGTGGATGGGTCTTTCACATGCATTAACATAATGAACATAATCTTCTCAGGCCAACCTGATCTACACAATCCCTCATTAAGACTTTCTTCCCAGATGATTCTAGGTTGTGTGAGAGTGACAAAGCTAACTGTCACAAAAGAATAAGGTTCAATCAGCTTTAGAACCAGGTGTCAGGTAAGTCTTGAGGGTTCAGAGGAGCTTTCAGGTTCTCACAGGTGTCCTGTCCATCCTTGGCTTTTGCATACAAGTTGATCATACCAAATATGAAAAATCAGAAAGCCAAATTATTCCTGAGCTAGAACTTAGGTCAGTTAGCAGGGATGATCTAAAAACTGGTCACTTCCCCTCTCTAGGCCAATTGACATATAGACTGTAATGCATTTGATTTAGTATTGGGACTTTCAAGTGACAAAAATGTGGGAGCTTTTAAATTTGGTGCTGGTGTGTGTGGTCTGGCTTATTTCATTTCTGACCAGGCACTAAGGTTGCTGGAAGAAATCAGGCATCTGCCCCAGGAACCTGGTCTACTGGAAGTGCTGGTTAGTGGCTAGTTTGGCCAGTTGCTGATGCTGGAACAGGTGTGGTAAGTCCTGTTGTCACTTGGCCATTGCAGCTCTTTCCTGGACAGCCCAAAGCAGTTT